GAGAGAGAGAGAGAGAGAGAGAGAGAGAGAGAGAGAGAGAGAGAGAGAGAGAGAGTGATTCCCTGCTTTGCGTGAGAAATGGACCAGAATGGGCCCAGTGGATGACAGAGGTATGGAGCCAGATGGTGTTCGTGTACCTACTGATGGCCGCGACTGGAGCAACATTGGGTGATGGCAGAAACAACCATAGCAACTGGTGAGGGTCTAGTTGACGACGGAGATATGGGGGCAGATAGTGGCAGTGGACCTGCTGATGGCAGAGAGTGGAGTACTTACAGGTGATATATAATAATAAAAAATACCAGAAGAAGTATAGTGCCAACCACCGAACTCGAGAGGGTGTACTTGAACCAGCAATACTTCGGAGACACTTTTCTTTGGGTCTGGAAATGCCTTGTGCACCAAAGAAAAATGGACCAGTGCAGGCCGCCTTTTTTTATCTTTCTTTTTTAACAAGAAAAAGGGATTTATTATATCATCACAGGCTGGGAAACGGGCGCAGTGTCCCTCACATCCACAATCACGGCCTGTGGGGATGAGCCAGGCTCTCTGGCCAGGCTTGGCTGGCGCCGCCAACCATTTTGCTCTGGAAGCAGTGCCCCAAAAGTTGCACTGACATGCAAGCCGCATATTTTATTCTTTGGCTGTGAAACATACAGGTGGTTTGATGGGGACAGATGGTGGCTGTGAACCTTTTTTTTTTTTTTTTTTTTTTTTTTTTTTTTTTTTTTTTTTTTTTTTTTTTTTTTTTTTTTTTTTTTTTGCTGTGAACATTTTCTATCTTCTTCTACTTCTTCTTCTTCCTTCTTCTCCTTCTTTTAATTAATTTAATTTAATTTTAATTAGGACCATATCCTCGATGTATGCGTGTCATTCTTGGTTAGCATGGGCCATGCTAATCTTCTCTGTATCCGTCCAATGTGAGTGGATGTCCCGTCTGACTCGCTATCTTCAAGTTTAAATTGCTTTATTCTGTGCTGCTGCTACTGCTGTGCTATGATCATTCTCTATCTCCAGAGAAATGCTTTGGCTGTCTTTGTTGCTGTGAACATAGTTTATCTTCCAAGTTTCTTTATTTTTTCTTTTTCTTCTTTTTCTTTTTTCGATGGACTACGGATCAGATATTAAACTGATCACAACAGATACGTCACTTGATCTTACTTAGGGCGTACTCACACTACCAGTGTCCTAAATGCACCTGACCACGTTTACAGCCGGACTCGTGTGCATCTGGCCTCAATTCCGTCCGGAAACAAGGGAAAAGTGCGAGTGTGACTATGCCCTTACCCAAAACGCTGAGAATGGTATACTCTTTTACCTTCAAGTTAAAATTTGTTTGTTCTGTGTATTGCTGTTGCAGCAGCTGCCGCTGTGCTGTGAATTTGTGTGTGAACGTTTTTATGTCTTTCAAAGAAATGCCACATGGTGTCACCGTGTCATTATAATATTATATTAATTTATTAATTTGTTAATTTATTAATTTATTAATTTATTTTTCCTTACTGAAGTGAGTACAAACAATCATTTCTCAGTTTTCTGCCGGAGGGCGCTGAGGCACAACGAAAGTTGTGCGGCCAGAAATACAACTTCCACTGTATTCGCGGCGGTCCCTAAGAGTTTGGTTATGGGTTTCTAACTTTATACGACGTAGATGCAATGTTGTTATCGTGTGTGTAACAGTGAGGACCAGGCCCCACAGGTGCTATATTAATGCTCGGAAAGCATGAACCGGGCCCATATGACGTGTACAGGTTTATTATGCTCTGCGAGCGTGGAGCCGCAGCCACTCCGGCCTGCCCCTAACGCACGTCGCACACCACTATAACCAGCCTGCCTGCGCACACTTTGATTGAATTTTAGAGCCTGGCCGTTTGGTTCGAATTCGACTCTCATGGACATAACTCACACTAACGTCTTCACCCGCAAATCGAATGCCCGGTAATTATAGCTGCATGTGGACTGAAAGTTGCCCTAAATACCTCTCTACAATGACCGGGTGTTCTATTCGGGTGAAGACGGTAGGACTTTCTGGACTCAGGTCTGTGGCATCGCTGGCGCCGCTCTGGATGTAATTGCAGTCAGATTCATTTAGGAAAGTGGTGCCAACTTCACACCCAAGACATTGTAGAGGTGTATTTAGGGAGACTTCCACTCCACATAGGCCATAATTACCCGGGGTTCTATTCAGGTGAAGACGGTAGTGTGAGTGTGACTTCGGTCACTCGTATTGCGGAATGTGAACTACTGAACTACTGTCTTCCCCCAAGCAGATTGCACCTGATAATCAATGTATGTATACAAGCACTTTTTCCGGTCCGGTACAGCCGTAATGAGAAGACGGTAGTGAAGAAGAAAAGGTGCTGACAACTGTACTCGCGTTTCTATCGTTCATCTATTTTACTTGCAATACTTGCAACCGCATGAGCCGCACATTCGTGCGGAGTTCTGAGCGGGGGGGTGCCTGTGCGGAATCGTGCAGGTTTTTTATTTTTATTATTATTATTTTATCTTTTTCTGGGAGGGGGAACGGGGGGGGCGTATGACAGGACAACAACTTACAACGTTAAAGCCTATAGGTGATACCGGCGAGATCCAAGTGGTTTGTTTGATGTACCTATTGGAAGTCAGAGGACCCACAGTACCTGCCTAACCCGAAAGGGACCTGACCTAGTAATAGGAAAGCACTGAAAGATGGGGATATGGCGAGGAGAGGGGGATACGGAGAGGAGGAGGAGGATGTGGACGAGGAGGACGACAAGGATAGCGAGGACGACGAGGAGTCGTCGAGATGGGGGGAGGAGAAGAGATGGACGGAGGGAAAAGAGGAAGGGCAGGAGGAGGAGGAGACATGGACGGGGAGGAAAGGGAGGACACGAGGAAAGGGAGGACACGAGGAAGGGAAGGAGACGAGGAGGCATGGAAGATGAGGAGGTATGAGGAGGAGGAGACAAGGAGGATGAGGAAGGGCAGGAGGAGATGAAAAGAAGAAGGGAGGAGGAGACATGGAGGASGAGGAAGGGGAGGAGGAGCAAGGTGAGACAGTACTCCTGTTTTTTTTTTTTTCATCTCACTTATCATTTTGGCGGGGGGCCTCAAATGCACCATTTCGACCCCGCTTTTTTTTTTTTTGCTGAGGGGGGTGACGGTTCCCCACACACGTCGTGCGCCGCACAAGATCGGTTGGGCGTGTGCGCCGCAAGTAGGGAACCGCCCGCATGACATGCGCTTGCAAGTATGGTTCATCTATTTTACTCGCGTTACTATAGTTCATCTATGTTACTCGCGTTACTATGGTTCATCTATTTTACTCACGTGTTACTATAGTTCATCTATATTCCATTCCATTGTAGGCGCCCGCATGACGGCCAGGCTACAGGCGAAGCCAGAGGCAGAGCCTACACAGCGCGCATAGTAACATAGATGAACTATAGTAACACATGTAACATCTATGTTACGCGTGTTACTATAGTTCATCTATATTGCATTCCATTGTGTTAGGCCCCTGGGCTACAATCCGCGCTGAGTAGGCTCTGCCTCTGGCTTCGCCTGTAGCCTGGCCGGCCCCATGCAAGGTTCCGGGGAGCCCCGTTCCACAAAGTGAGGAAAAGGGCAAACAATTCAAACAAACGTTGCAAGAACAAAATGCTGTGCAGAATTGCAGATCGAACAATGTCGGCGGAGGTAGGGTCATACCTCAAAATTCCCGTTTTAGTGGCACACACCTTAGAGGTTTGGACTTTTTTGAAGGCTCTTCAAAGTTTGAACAGAAAAAAAAAGAAAAAAAAAAAAGAAAAACACCCCTTAGAGGTTTGGACTTTTTTGAAGGCTCTTCAAAGTTTGAACAGCTTTAACCCCCGTTTGTACCCTTTAGACCCCCTAGTAAGGTGAGATACCACCAATTAAAAAAAAAAAAGAACAAGGCCAGGTTTGGTCACTTCTTGGTGGGTGAGGCAATGTGCCCCACCATGAGCTTTTGAAAAGAAAAAAAACTTAAAAAAATCCTAAAAAGGACAATCATCATTTTTTTGCGCTTGTCCAAGCGAAATGGGAAAGTGGGTCTGCGCTGTTTGGGCCCTGGTGACCCTTCAGTGGGCCTTTAGGCCCTTTACCCCTTTTCATTGTTTTTGGTTTCCTTGTTAGCCTGGGTTAAGCCCGTATTAGATTCTCTTCCTTTTTTCTGTTTCTTTTTAAACCTCCTGTGGTGCTAGTGGTGCTGGTAAAAGCAGACACCACTAGCGCCTAGGGGGGGCTCCATCTATTGGTGGAGAGCATCACCTGCTGGAAAACGGGTCCAGTGTCCCAAATGCATAATGAAATTGGAAGATATCAGAAAACAGATTTGAAAGACGCCTGCCAGCATTGATTGCTCTGGAGTCCACATGATTGACTGAGCAGGTTAATGGGAGACAAGGGGGGAGAGAACCTCTTCGCCCTGTATCGGGCGCCGGATACCTATGTTTACACTCTGGTTACTCCCTCCCCCAGCTACCTCTACCTCCGGTCATCCTTTTCCTCCCTTCCTAACCCTACCTCCTGTCATCCTTTTCCTCCCTTCCTAACCCGTGGCCTGACCGGAGTTCAGAAGGAGAGTCAGCGGGGGCCACCGGTGAGATCTTCTTCCATCCCCTTGTCCGTGCCAAACTTCCCGTATTAGGTTCTCTTTTCTCTACACAAGAAGAAACGAATTGTTGTTAAATTGTTAAACACACCAGCGATGGATGTCCGTACATGGATGGAGAAGAGTTTTTTTTTTTTTTTTTTTTTTTTTTTTTTTTTTTTAAATTGGACCATTTCTCGATTTATGCGTGTCATCCTTGAAAGCGCAGGGGGCATGCCAATCTTATCTGTATCGTTCCATTTTTAACGGATGTCCCGAAGGATCATTGTTTTATTTGTGTTTGAGTAATAAAAATAAAGCACTGACATTCTTACTGCCGAATCTATCGCAACATAGGGCCTCGCCGCAGCACTGTCGAAACGAAAAAGAAAGTACCACTCCACGAACTTGCGAGATACATCCATTGCTATACCTAGTAATGAATGCATCTTGCCACTTTCTCTGCAAGATTCACTCAATATTTTTTTCGTTTCAAGTTTCGACGGTGGTGCCGCGAGGCTGGTAACCGGCTTGTGTTCTGAACTGTCTATAAAGAGTTTTAGAAATTTAGACTCGTTCTATGATCTTCTGCAATGGTTATGGAGTAATATGGACCCGTAGAAAGGCAAATGGCTAAGACTGCGGAGAGGCAAATGAAAAAAATGAGAAAAAAAAAATGCTTCTGCTTGCTCTTCTTCTTCTTCTTCTTCTTCTTCTTCTTCTTCTTCTTCTTTTCTTTTCTTTTCTTTTTCTTTTTCTTTTCTTTTCTTTTTTTCTTTTTTTTTTTTTTCTTTTTTTTTTTTTTAATGAAGCATTGCGGATGGGCGTGGGGGGAGGTGCTGATAAGAGCAGACACCCCCTCCACGTACCCTGTTTGCGAATGGCTCTGTTCCATTGGTGGGGAGCTGCACCTGCTGCTCTTCTGGCGAAGAGGGAAGTAAGCAAAGTGCAAGCAAAAGCCGGAAAGAGTCGTGACTTGTGACAAGTTGTGAGCCTTTGTTGTGACACATTTCAAGATGTCTGGGAACCCATGTAATGGACGAGTCGTGGAGCACTGAAAATCAGTCGTCATTTATGTATTTTTCCTGGTTTGCACTGCGCGGTGCTGAAGTTCTGGACGTGGCGTTGTGAAAGCCGCCGGGCAGAAATGTTGAAATTCATGTCGTGTCTACCCACCTGATTGCCCCCATGCCCTTCCCCTTCTGCTCCTTTTGGCCCCTTCACCCTTTTCCCTCGGGCCTTATCTCTCTTTGCGCCCAAAAGAAGGATGGAAAAGAACCTCAAAAAACATGCCCATCCCTGATTGCCGTTTCCTGCACAGATATGTAGCGCATGTATCTAGCAACTCAGCAGGCACTGACTTCCCCCCCCCACCTACTTTTTTTTTTCCCCCCCGAATTCCCCCACCTCCTGCCAACTCCAGAATAACAGAAGCAAACGGGCCACCCTTTAACCCTTATAAACCTGGCGCTGCCTGGGCCAGTAGGATCTTTACCCAACCCAACACAGGTGTGTGTGTGTGTGTAGCATGTGTGTGTGTGTGTGTGTGTGTGTGTGTGTGTGTGTGTGTGTTGCATATGTGTGTGTGTGTGTGTGGTGTGTGTGTGTTGCATATGGAGGGATGGGTGGAGGTGGGGGGGTGTGTGGAGGGTGTGTGTGGCGTAAAATTGGGGGAACCCCCAACAGTGGTGGTGTGAGGCTGTAGGGGACCCCCCTATATTCTTACGAGTAGTGGTAGCACTGGTAGGTAGGTACTGGGTAGTAAAAATGAATTTGATTTTTGAAGGAGGGGAAATACAGAAAATTAACTTTTATCTTGTTGAGAAACTATGAATGTAATCTGGTGAATTTGATCAAATACCAATAGAGTACTCAAATTCGCCTATTTTGTTAAATTGTAGCGATTACTGAAGAGAGATCCTGTAGCCAGTCGAATACAGAATTACACCCTCCTTGCATGCTGCCTTCCTCCGTTGCTCCTGCCCACTGCTTCCTCTCCTCTCTCTCTTACCCCCCCC